GGGGGGGGGGGGGGGGGGCGGCACATACCTTGTTCTCCTCAAACGGCACGGTGCCCATTTGCAGGTTGCGCGAGCTCTTGATGAACTGGCCCAGGGAAACGGCCACGGCCAGGCGGACCGAGGCGTGGAAGTACTCGGCCTGATCGACCAGGAGCTCCACCGACCGGGCAATGTACGGGGCAAAGGCCGCCGGGGCGTGCATGCACATGTCACCCAGGGCACTGACAGCCAGGACCTTCTCATACAGGTAGGGGGCCGAGCTGATGAACTGCGAGTGGAGGAACTCGCCGTTGCCCTCGGCATCCGGGTCAAGGTCATCGGCCTCGCCGAGGTCGTCCACCACCGGCTGAATGCCGGCCTCGGAGCTGACCGACTCGAACATGCGCGGGACGACCACCTCCAGCAGGGAGGCCGACTCGTCGCGGTAGGCGCGAACAATGCACGAGTAGAACTCGTAGCTGGCCTCGCGCAGGGCCGGATTGTCATCCTGGAAGACCAGGTTCACCTGGTCCAGGAACTCGGCCAGGTAGGGCCGGAAGAGGTCGGCCCCGACCGAGGTGGCCACCGCCCCGAGGGAGCTGATGCCAGCGGCACGGAGCTCGACATCCTCCTCGGCGGTCATGCTGAGGGCCGTGCGGAAGATGGAAATGACCTGGTCCAGGTAGGGGCTGAAGCGCTCGCCGGCCGCGAAGGCCAGGGAGCTGATGATGCCCAGCAGGGACTGCTGCACCGGGCGGCTGGTGGTGGTCAGGAGGGCGCCGATGCGCTGGAACAGCGGCTCCAGGTAGGGCAGCACCCCATCGCCGATGATCTCGCAGATGGCATCCAGGCAGAGGCAGACCTTTTCGCGAGCCGTGTCGGTGGTGTCGACGTCCATGATGCGCATCAGCCGGGGGATGATCTCCGCATGGCTGACGGTGATCAGATCCTGCAGGGTGGTGGCCAGGCGGACCAGGCCCAGGCAGGCCAGCTGCCGGACCCCGGGGACCGGGTCCTCCAGGGCCCGGACCATGAGGCCGAAGAAGGCCCCGTGGTTGTTGAAGAGGAAGTCGGCGCAGCCCTCGGAAATGAGGCCCAGGGCCATGAGCGTGGCGGCGCGCATGGCCGGCGCGTCGACCCCCTGGGCGAAGGCCTGGGTCAGCAGGTCCAGGATGATGGGGCCGATGACGGTCGGGGAGAGCTTGGCCGCGAAGGCGTCCAGGGTCTCGCAGGCGACACTGAAGAGGTCCGGCGCGTCGGGGTCATCATTGGCGATGATCTCGCCGCGGACGAGCTCCTCGCGCTCGGCCAGGATGTGCACGATGCGCGCCACGATTTCCGGGATCTTCTTGGTGGAGGTGAGGGCGCGGCGCTTGTAGAGGGACAGCCACATGATCATGGTCAGGGCGCGGTGGCGGATGTCCTCCTCCAGGTCGGGGTTGATGACGGCCGACATGGCGCTGTTGATGAGCTCCATGTAGTGGCTGGCAAAGAGGGGGCGGGGCTGTGGTATCGAGGAGGAGGAGGGGGGGGGAGGGGGGGGGCCAGTAAGTGGGCGTGTGCGTGTGTGTATGTGCATGTATGCGTATATATATATATATATATATGCGCGTAGGCATGTATGCGTGCACGCGTGCATGCGTGTAGGCATGAAAGCCACAACCAGGCAAGGGAGCACGGGGCATGGCATGAGGTGGACAGCGATCGGCTCGGCCGGGCGCCAGACACGGACCTGCTCCAGGATCTCGTCGATGGCCTCGAACACAAGAATGGCGTTGGAGGAGTCATCCTCGGCGATGCAAGCCGCCAGCGTGGCCAGCAGGTCGGAGGCCACGTTCTGGAAGAGCATGGTCTCCTCGCTGCTCTTGAGGAACAGCGACAGGCGGGAGATGGTGCGGGCCGTGGTCACGCGGATGTCCAGCGACTCCGGGTCCTTGAGGCCACGGGCGAAGACATTCTGGAAGAGGTAGGGGAAGTGCTTGCGCAGGGTCTCGGCAATGGTGTCGGAGCAGGTGAGGAACAGCTGCTGGCCAAGGGCGCGGTGGGACACGTCGGCCGACATGCAGCACTGGTTCAGGAAGTCGAAGAGCTGCGGCCAGGTGTTGCTGGCGGCCTCGTGCTTGGCGATGACCGACACGACACGGGCCATGGCCCGGCGGACGACCTCACTAATGAGTGTGTGTGTGGGGGGGGGGGGGGGGGGGGGGGGGGGGGGGGGGG